CTTACACATCTCGATTCCCTGATTAATAAAAAAAAACTACCTTCCTTCCCTGTCAGAATTCTTTGGACCGAAATCACTCCAGTGCGAAGAAAAGCCATACTTGTACATCAGTGGGAATGCCTCTCTATGTTCAACCTCTTCATATTCGACACATCTTTGGACCTGACTCGAATGTGGGTCTCGACCGATTGCTACGATTATTTTAAATCTCAGGTACGTGAATGGACGAGGAAAACACCGAAAAAAACAGACAGACCAAGCATCACAATATGGGACGGTGACATGCTTCACGATTGTCAGGGGCTATAAGTGGACGAGACTCGACGAAACAGACTCTATCACAATGCCGGATGCCGCTCAGACGCAGCCGTACTCGTACCACACCGAATTGTCCGCCGGTTTCTCATCTGTGTGAGGTGGCGCGTTTGAATCTGGCTTTGAGGTGCTTCGTTTGGGTGGCAGCTGAGGTGCCTTTTGCTGGAGACTAGATGACAATGGCCCATTCTGGGAGTTGTTGCTGTTGGTGCTGCTGGTGCTGCTGCTCCCGTCTGCGGGTCCTGCACGTCCCCTGGCTGGCAGAAGCGGGCCTCTGCAATTTCGAGATACCCTACTTTCAGACTCGTCTCACATCCTCATAGTAAGAAGAAAATAATTTCTGAAGTATCTGCAGAAGTTTAACCCTTTCCATGGTAGCATCTCCATTTGGAGACACTATTTGAAATCCATTCAAAACTTGTAGCAGCATGTGCAGCAAAGATTTGAGGGAAAACAGAAGTCCAATTGAGAGAGTGAACTAGTCTGGGATGTAACAAAGCCTCAGTTACTGGCAAGTCTTGGCTTGAGTTCAGTGGAACTCTGACCACTCCCATATTAATTTGCCATGGAAAAGGTTAAGAAGGTGTAATTCTATCAATCAAGGGTGATGATGGGTAGATCCCATACTAAATCCCTGCATCAATACCTGCATGCTTAATTCTTAACAATAAAATAACTTCATCACAAGCATTAAATTGGCAATAACTTTGCTGATAGAAGCAAAAGATATCAAAATTAATTTATAGGAATAAAATCAAGCTCAATCATGAACTGAGCACAAACCACTGCAAAATTTGAAAGTTTAGGTCCAGAAAATAAATTTCTATGAATGATTTTCTGATTTGTTTTGGCAATGATGCATTCAAAAGAGATGAGGCAATAAAAAGAGACTCGATAGAATTATAATAATCTTATGGTCAAATCTCCAATTCCTTATTATTGGCAATTTAAATCAGATTGTGATTTGGATTTTGCTCATGCTGAAACTCAAGCAAGACATGCACAAATGCCTTTGCAACAGGATATGTCAACTTGGGCCTTCAATATTCCCTGAACATAACATGAAAACGAAAAGCAAGCAAGATGGGGTCGAACACTCACGATAAACCGGGAACATTTGGGCGAGGAGGCTGAGGAGCGGGTCTTTTGACTCCACTGCGTGTGGGAAGAGTGGGAGTGCCCTCGGTAGATGTGGAACGAGGCAGAGGCATCACAAGTCCCCTGAGACTGCTTTGTCTATGGAGTGTGGAGGCAGCAAGACTTGGGCTGTTGCAAAGGACAGGAAAAATACAGTCACCTTCCTGGATGGATTCCTATTGCCTAGAAGGTTAAATTTAAATTCTCTTTCACTTCTTCTTTACCTGGAACCATTGGGATGTGAAAGGCTCTGTGAAGAAGGAGCAGGACTAGACTGTGTGGACACTGGCACTGGAGATTGTGCCATCCCAATGGGAGACTCTCGAGCCTCGGTCGGCGGCACCGATTTCGTCAAACCCTTTGAGCTCTCTGCATCCTGATTTAAGAAAGACACATTTAAGAAAGTGAGTAAAATATGCACTGTCATAACTCAAGATAAAAGCAAAGACTTTAGCCGACCTGCTTGTTAGAAGGCAGAGGAGCAGGTCCAACGTCTCTCGTCGGGATGGTGTCGTGCTCGTCGCTGTAATACACGGCTCTTCTCGTCCCGACGTTCCCCAGACTCAATCGGCTCCTTCTCACATCCCTTTTAGGATCGTCTCCTGCAACACAAAACCAACATGTTAAATCCATCCGTCCAGCTGGAACTCCAGAATGTGCTAAACACAAGGCCAAACCTATGAGCTTCTTGAGGAGAGCCTGCGTATCAGGCGGGGTGGTGAAACGAAGGCTGGCGATTTCATCGGACGACAGGCTGTCGTGATTGCCAGTGGTGGTGGTGGTGCCTCCGGTGTGAAAGAGTATTGGGAGAGAACTTCGATGATGCATTGAATTTTTCTTCTTCATCTCTCCTTCTTCTCCTCCTTCATCTTCCTCCTCATCCTCTTCCTCTTCTGCTTGAAGGCTAAGCTCTGAGATCCCATCTTCACCTACTTTAATTATTACAACATAAGCCTGTATGATGAATCTCTCAGATTAAAGTTTGAAGTCAATGTTAGCATTTTGCTGTATTACATACCAGTACTATGTGGTGATGACCTATTCGTTCCTCCTCCTTCTGTCCCAGAGTCACCAGAAGACCCAGACATTCCTGTTGAGGCGAGAGAGGCCGAATCGTGACTGTCTCGGTCCAAACCTCCCGAGAAGGACAGCGGTCGTCTCTCCCGACTCCGACTCGAACGAGGAGGGACGCGCTGCATTATTTCCGACCCGGCCTTGCGCATCCTTCGCACCAGGTTCGATCCGAAGCCTCGTTTGCGGGACACGCTCTCCATCCGTCTGTACTGTTCCATGATCTTCTCCTCCAATTTCTCTTTCTGACGTCTGAGGTCGTTCATCTTGTCCACGTAGTTCCTCTCTTCGTTGTGGAAGTGCTCACGATCTTCCAGCGTATGCGTGAGGAGATCGTGATACTGAGTCAACAGCACCGAAACCTGGCTCATCAGCTGACGACGTTCCTCATCCAGCGTAGAGTTCAGGGAGGATAGGATCTGTCAAAGAAATCTCACATGCAAACAATCTGCATCCCAGGGATCTCATACAATGGCATCTCTAATGTAGTTCCTTACTTCACACTTGTGGCTGAGTTTGGTGACCTGAAGGTCCAGGGATGACACTTTATGCTGGGCTTCATCTAACTGCCCATGCAGTTCAGTGCTGCGCAGCTTTAGATTGTTATTTTCTGCTTTCACTCCCTTGTAGTCCGCCTGGAGGCTGCGGTACTCGGTCTTCAGTCTTTCGCTTGCAGCAAACAGACTCCTGAAGTCATCCTACATGAGAACACAAATCATGAGCTGTTTTGCAATTTCCCACATTGACATTTCTATTGGAACAATGGAAACAAGAAACCATACCTTGAGGCGTGAGTGTTCAGATCTCAGATTACTCAATGCCTTCGCTTCTGCCTTGACTGCTTCACGCTCCTTCTCGAGAGTCTCCCTAAGTTTGCCGAGGTCTTCTTGGCCAGATGCTGCATTCTGCACACGATCCTGCAAAGAAAAGAGAGATCTTTGGAATCAGGAATCTGAAGACTGACAGAATGGATAAAAATAAGGCAGATTATATGTTCTATGTTCTTGTTGACATCAACACATTGACTGATGGGAAGAAATACACAAAAGTAATGAAACCAATGCAATTCATTTACTTTCCCTTCTTACAGTACTGGCAACTAAACCCATGAGCAATATGCAGCAATAGGTAAGATTATACATGAACCATACATTTCCTGAGTCTTTTTTTTTGTTGAGGCTTGAGATGCAATGTGATCATGGTGAATATGCAACTGCTCTAGTCACTTCTATTTCCCTCCCACAGCTTCGACTTTTCCAAATGATTCCAAAGGAAGCACATTTGTTGTATGAAACATAATTCAAAAGAGCTGGAATAGGATTCCTGAATTTCTGTTGGAATGTAACTAAAATGTAACTTCCCATCACTGACCAAGCTGCATGCACTTTCCTCTCTATCTCTAGTACACCTCATATTTGAAAATGTCTTAGGAGAAATTTGTTTTCCTACCTCTATGCTCAATTTATTTTTGTGGGACCCTGTCATTATCCATGTGGAAATCTCTGCTGGAAATCCAAATGAATTTGAGGGCCACTCAATAAGTTATCTACCTGAATATGAAAGGGATGAGCAACAGGCCTGTGCCTGCTGTGACATGTCTCGACAGGTCTCATGAGTGCCCCACCACTTTGAACAGACTCAGTGGCTCAAGTCNCGGATGTTTCTTTCTTATTCAGGTAGATAACTTATTGAGTGACCCTCGATACTTTCATCTGGAAGGCATCATCCTTTCTGACAGAGACACCTAAGTAAATTCTCTAGCCTATCATTCACTTGAGAAATTATTATCAGTGTCATTTGGTAAAAAAAAAAAAGGCTTAAAACTAATTATATCTAATGGTCAAATTTAAGCAAACCTGTATGAGAACAGATGTTGACATGAAAGTTGAAATATTTTTGTGACCCATTCATCTCTGAAAAGGAACCCACCTTGATGGCCTTGAGTTCACGTGCAATAGCCTTTGAAGAACTCTTGAGGCTGTTTTGCTCCTGTGAGAGTGCTTCATAGTCATTGTTCAGTTGCTGATGAAGCTTCTGCAAGGTCTCGTGATCAGAGATGAGACTGACATGAGTTGCCTTCAGGTCCTCCAGCTGCTTCTGGGCCTGAAATAGAATTTTATGTCAGATTGGTGCATACATTTTGCCAAGACTACTTGGTTTTCATCTGGAGATGTCACTTGCCTGATCCTTCTTTCCCTGAAGGTGACTCTGGAGATTCTGAAGTTGAGAATTTTGAGCAATGAGTGAAGCACTCTGGGACTGTAGGGTCATGGTTTCGACCTGAAGATTCGCGTTCTGCTGTTGGAGGGAAGCGTTCTGCTGAGCCAGGGCTGAGGCCTGGGCTTGGAGGGTTGACATCTGAGTCTGAAGAGATGCCACTTGCTCTTGAGCTTGGGATGTTTGGCTCATGAGGCTTTTGTTGTCAGCTTGAAGAGTTGCATTCTGAGAAAGAGATACCAAGTTTTCAATTTTAATCCAATTTGGGCAGTTTACACAAGTGGAAGAAACGACTCAGCCGTACCTCACGCTCGACGGATACAAGATGATCCTTGAGAGCAAGGATCTCAGATGCTCCTGATGCATCTCGTTTGTCACTAGGTTGCTGACACAAGGTTTCATGCTGTCTCCTGAGGGCCTGGAGCTCCGCTTTCAACTCGGCATTGCGATTGGTCGCATCCTGAAGACGGGACTCTAGAGCAGAGATCTTCTCCTCCTTCACTTCCATGTTCTTCTTTAGGGCCTCTTCCAGAAGAGTCTGAAGTGCCTTGAAGTGAGTCTCATCCTTCTGGCTGTTGGCAATCCTCTCCTGCTGGATGCCCATGCGCTGCAACTCGGCCGTGAGGAGGTCGAGCTGTGCAGTGAGCTGCTGGCTCCGCATCTTCTCCTGGATGAGGTCTTCTCGTAGGGCTGACAGCATCTGATTCTCCATAGCTCGCTGCTGGATCACTTCACTGTGCTCTCTTTCCAGTTCAGGCAACCTGAATTCATAAAAACCAATTTCTCAAACTTCCATTCATAAATTTGTTCTCCACCTTAGAATACTGAGTGTCCAAGAAATTATGGTGCAAAAATAATCTCTTATAACTTTATTATTACTTGCAACAAGGAAAAGTGGTGAATTCAAGTGCAACTAATAATTGCCTAAGTTGGTAACAATGTAACTGGTTTTAATTGGTATTTTTTATTTTGTGTTGGGTGAATCATGAACTAATGGCCACACCAAAGGACAAGGCTGCCTTGAAGAGGTTTGTGGATTTGTCATGAGAGCTTCAAAGACATGAGTTAAAAAAGCATGCACCTTGAAATGTTTCCCCCAACTTCAAATAAGATTCCTATGGTATGCCTGCTTCATGAACTCATGTTGAAATCTCCATCAGACTATGATGATCCAGTTTCATGCACAAATGTCACATAGATAGCTATCTCCTACAGTGTGGCTATTATTTTCATAATTCACCATGTAACCAAGAATAATGAATACCATTTACATAGTGACAAACTCAGACAGAAAATGGTTACACCTGAATTTACACCTTTTTTCTATTGCAAATAATAATAAAAGTTATGAGAGGATATTTTTGCACCATTATTTCTAGAACACACTGCACAGCTTCAATAACCCTCTATATAATTCTGCAATCAATAAGCCTCAAACTTATGAGTGGCTCGAAAACACTTCAGCAGTAAAGTTGATGCTTTGCCCTTGAAGAACTCTTATATTCCTCAAGGAAGCAATAGAAGCACTCAAACATCAATACTGTCTAAAAGTTGGGGCATTGATGACAGCCCCATTTCCACAGAAACTGCCTCATTCAAGAGGGAGTCTTGATACAGTCTATTAATTTGGAGTCACAATAATCAGTCAAGGACAGACAGAAAAGGGAAACTTAGCAAAAGAAGACCACATACCATATAAAGCCCCTGAAGCAGCATTGTGAAAGTGACCACAACATCAAGAAAGGAGCATGCAAATTGCCAAGTCAAGAGAATAGACAAAAATATGAGTTCAATAAAATTTTGATCAAGCTGTGGATGGGAAAAAGAGATGAAATGAAAAACTCAGTATGCCATGGCAAGAAGAAATGAGAAACTGATCTTTAAATCTTACTTTCAAAATCATGAATAATTCTGAAATTCAAGTGCTACCACCATCTCGATTCCCATATACTGCACTTCCAATGTAGCAAATGGTAGAGGATATGAGAGAGTAGGAAAAGGAGATGAGATGTACCTAGCTGCATGCTGCTTAATGCCTTCAAGTTCCCTGGTCAAGAGCCTGCACTCCTGCTCCAAGGCCGAGATCTTGAGGGAGGACTCATCGAGAGCTGAATCTTTGCCCTCCAGGGTCTGCTTCAGTCGACTGACTTCCTTCCCAAGGGTCTTGTTGTCCTGGGTCAGCTGCTCCTTGTCTGCTTCCAGTCCACTCTTCTCTCTCTCCAACTCTTCTACGCGAGTTGCCGACCCGTGCACGTTGTTCTCCAGCTTGTTTTTCTCTGACTCCAGACTTTCCTTCTCCCTTGTCACTGCCTCCAGGCGTGACTCAATCAACTCCAAACTGTGCTTCAGGGTGGCTCTCTCTTCGTTTGCATTTTGCAATTCTATCTCCAGGGTCTGAAGCCTTCCTGTCTCAGCCTGCAATGATCATGATGAAAACAAATGTGTGAAAAACAAGGGCTTCTTGGAAAATCTATGCAGAGGAAAGACAGGGTCAGACCTGAACTTGGTGAAGAGCAGTCTTCACCTCTGTAAGCTGTGATGATAGAGATTCTTTTTCTTCTTCAGCTTGGATGGCTCTCTGTTTGATATTTTCCCATCGATCCATTCGTCTCTGCATCTGCTCCTTCTCCAAAGACAAGCTGGTGTGCTCCACTTTCAGATCATCATACTGATGGAAAAGACAAACAATAAAATAAAATATTTGAGCTCAAGGGTTATTCTATCACTTGGGGTATATTTTTTGGGGGGTATACCTTTTTAGATGCTTCTCTAGCTGAATCCAATGATTTTTGGAGTTTAGAGTATTCAACCTGGAGTTCATAATATTTCTGCTCCATTTTATCATATTCTTCACAGGATGCTTTCATGGCTGCCAATGCCTGAAACAGATGACTTCAACTCACCACTCTGATGCAAAAAATATTCACAGATGCAACTGCAGCAACAGGCCTCACCTTGATTAGGTCTTGTTTCTCTGATTGAAGGCGCTGCTTTTCGGTCTCACTCTCGGCAAGAGAATTGTGAGCAACTTGAAGACGGGTGTGGGCCTTCTCCAGCTGCGCTTTCTCATATTCCAGACGAGAGACCTGGGCTTCCAACTGCTGCACTGACTCCTGAAGTCTGCAATTGTCCTCATCGATCTGGTGGATCCTTGCATCTGTCGACTGGGTCTCTCGATCGCGCAGCTTCTCGACCAGCTCTTCCAAGCCCTGTTTCTCTCGCTGAAAAGATATAGACATAACTTCAGCACTGCAGCAATTCAAAAGTCTCCAGGGGAAATGTAACAATTAGCATGAAACGAACTTGGAGCTCCTGTATTTGTCGGTTTCCATGCTCTTTCACCATTTCGAGAGTCTCTTTGAGACGTTTGGTCTCGTCCTGCACCTCGTGCAGTTGAGACTCCAGATCGACACAGCGGGAACTCTCCTTCTGCTGCGCTTCCTGGAGCTGCTCCACCTTCAAGGATAGTCTCTTGTTCTCCCTTTCCAACTCAAGTATCTGAAAGAGAACCAATTTCCCTTTCTAAACAAAGGCAGGGGCACTTAGTATGAGCACTTCACACATAATTCTCAGAGTTTGACTCACCCTTTCATTAGCATCTCGTTGACCTTGATCCCTGAGCTGGTCGAGGAGAGATTGGAGTCTCTGGTTTTCATACTCCAGCTTCCTGAGTTGAGTGCAGGCATCGCTGCTCAATTCTTCACTCAGACTGGTATTGCCTTCTGGTAGATTCAAGTCAAGAATAATCAATGGATGCAAGACCATCATCATCATTGTATTGGGTGCGTAATAACATCTTCCTTCTCCCCTACAGGCAATATCAGAATGGTCATCAGTCTTTGGCTAGTATAATTTGAAAGCTTATCTCAAACAGAACTGACTGTTTGCTTAAGATTTTTAAGAGAGAACTGACCAATACAGAACTGAAGCAGAGCATCATCAAATGACAAGAATGAGATCTAGGCTCTTCCTTAATTGCCTGAAAACAGACCATGTTTTATGGATCAATGGATTAGCCATATTATTCAGCTATCTACATTTTGCTTAGGGCTTGTCTTGCACTTAAGGGAAAGCTAAGGACTTCCTACTAACACCTGTTACTGTTCTGTGCTCTGTGTCAATCAATTTTCTTCTTAAAAGTCCAAAGCAAGCAGGGTCAGTTCCTTTTGATATGAACTTTTGAACGATACCAACCTGAGACTGGAAACTATTCTGATGTTGTGCCTGCAGGGGAGGAGAAAAAAGTCATGACACACCCTGTATGAGGTGTGAAGAAAGAAACCCCTCACCTGCACCATACTTCAGTCTGTCCAACTCAGCCAGGAGGCTGTGAGACTCATCAAGCTGGGATCGGTTGCACAGAAGGAGGCGGGAATTTTCCTCCACCAGCTCCTCGATCCTGGTCTGATCGGCGTCTCGATCCTTCGGGAGGAAGTGAAACGGGGTCCGTTCAGAAGTGTCAGTCTTCAACCCTGCCCACTCATTAATGAACCATTCAAGGCTGGGTTGGCTGGCCCATGGGGGTCGCATCCATCAGATTCAAAAGCCCCAAGGCCAAATATTGCTCCTCATCTTTGAGTAATGAGATCCAATTGTCTTTAGTAGTACAGACGTTAGGCACACTCCTAGCTTTGGCAGCCTGACATGGCCCCAACCTTCTATCATCTCTTCATGCACGATGTGGGCCCACGGCCACGGTATTCTCAACTGACAGAGCATGACTGCTAATGCCTCCATCCGTGAGGCACATGTCAAAGATCCCAGTTCTAATTGCCTTCATATACAGTCATTACAAGACAGGGTAGTGCAGCTAATTGAGAAGAAACGACTGACTCATGAAGTGTTGTAACATGCAGAGCATATAACAAGAAAGAGCATCATCTGCGCTTATTTGAAGTTTTGTTGACGATCCACAATGCCTGTATGATGCAATGCTAATTCAATATTTCCCAATAAATTCACTGTAAATACACATATGTGGCTATGTAGCCACTCATTCACCATTTCCTATGATGATGCAACCAAGCCATCATATATTATTGTCTTCCATAGGCAAACTGCTCCAACCGCTAAACATGCAATTTTCTACTCCACCGATGCAGAGGCGGAGAACGATGCACGTTCTCTTTACAGGGTTCCAACACCGGAAAGCTTACAAGATGCCAAGAGGATCAGACAGTTTCCATCTACGTGACAACCTTCAAACAACATAGATATTCCATCGATTCTTGGTAGCAGTCGCTTATTCATGCACATCGAAACCCCGACGCTCCACATAACGCAATACGAGCGACATCCTCACCAGCTGCAGGGAGTGGATCTGCGATCGGCACTGAAGAAGCTCCGTCTCCAGGTGGAGGAGGGACTCCTGCCTCTTTCGCAACCCGTCGATCTGCTCCTCGAGGAGGTCCTTCGTCTCGACCAGGAGCCTGCAATCATCGATGCCACGTTACCATCGACTCCATTCATCTGGCCTCTAAAATGATGCTGCACTTTTATCGTTCTTAGCATATTGATTCCATTAGAATGCATGCCTTGCAGCTCCCATGATTAGAGGCCAGATCATCTCCATCATTACATCCCTTCTGGCTCGTACATGTGTCCCAACGCTACACATTCCCCGTTGCCTCTGTTCCTTGTTTGTAACTGCCCATCCATGAACATATTCATTCGCAACGCAACCCAGAGAAAACTAATTATTCATTCCTTTCATAAGTGAAGGGCTACTCATGTTACAGATGGCTTCATCCATGAATTTTGAGTACATCAAATGACCGCAAATGAAGAGGCCACGGAAAAAAGACATTTTTTACAGGTCATTCGGTCTCAAACAACCGAGTCCAGGTCAACCGGTCTCTAGCAACCGGGTCCAGGTCATCCGGTCTCTAACAACCGGGTTAAGTCCCTCACGATGACGCAGCACAGAACCACCTTGAAAAAGGACGAGCCACTAACGCCCAGGACATGCAGACGCATACCGATCTTGCTTCGGGAAATCTCACCGATTATCCTCCCTGAGTTCATCCACCCTGGCCCTGTAGAACTCGACGTCGGACAGTTTCTCCCGGAATCGCTGGAGGTCCGATTCCAGCTGATCCGCCCGGTCGGCCTTCTCCCGGATCATGTCCAGCTCGTCCCGCAGCGCCTTGGCAGTCCTTGCCTCCTGGACCAGGGTCAGGTTCTGCAAAATTACACCACGGATGCCTCTTACCACCGGTTACACGACAAAGAAAGGTACAGGAACCGGAAAAACACCATATGTTTCGGGATAGAAACCACAGCACGTCAGTTACCGAGAGGAATTCCACTTTGCTGAAAGCCCTCAACCATGGATCGGGACATCCATCTTCCCCCCTTTCCTTTCATCGTGCCCCGCGAGTAAGCCACCATCGTGCCCGAGCGTAAGCCAATCGGAAGCCGAAAATAAGCCATTAACTCACCTCGTGTCTGAATTTCCCCACTTGCTCCTTCAAGGACTCCAGCTCCTCGCTGGCTTCTGAGATCAGTTCAGTCTTCTCCTCTCTGAAAAAAAAAAACACGAGTTCATAAATATTTTTACTCCATATTTTCATGTTATATTTTTTTATAACATTTTTCGGAATATTTTTCACAGAACATCTGCATGCCGATGAGATACGAGATAAAGGACAGAGACTAACAGGTCCTGTCTGAGCCTCCTGATCTTGGCCTTGGAGTCGGCCAGCTCCACCATGACGTGATGAAGGTCCTGGGACGCATCCCCCTGCAGCTTCGACCCCCTGTCGCTCTCGGGGCACCCGTTCGCCTGGCCGTACGGGATGGCCGCCGAGGGCGGGCCGTGCCCGTTGCACTTCCCGCTCTGGGACTTCGGTGTCGAGGATTCCTTGCACTGGCTCTCCACCAGGTGCTGCACGTAATGCGTAAATTATCACAGAGCGGTGAAAAAAATGTTCACGCCAGTTTTAATTACGTGAGGACACTAAGAATCGCGAAATTAAATCTACTCTGCTCACGAGATGGTCCGGATCGCGGAATTTTATAAAGGCCAAAACGTAAGAGTTGTAAGAGTTCGCGAAATTAAATCGGCGCGAAAATTGTCGCTGATTTTTACATGGGATAAACATTGTCTTCGGGAGTGAAAATACCTGGAGGTACGAATCCCTTTCGTTGATGATGCTTTTGAGGTGGGAGACCAGGACGGAGAAGGCCAGGGCCTGCTGCTCTTCGGGGACCAGCGACAGCTCCGTCCACTCCACGGGCCACACGGTCTCCAGATTGTCCGTCACCTGATCCGGGCAAAAATTAAATCATCAATTAAATATGAAAAAATATATGTATATTTATTTAAAATTCCGTATCGTTCGGGCCGGGAAAGGAAACCGTGTCAAGGAAATATTCGCGAGATTCCCGGATTCTCCATAAAGCCATGACCCCCATTCTTCGTCGGGGGGGTTTTCGAAAAATGAGGTGGTCCATTCAAACGGGCTTTGCATGTGTCATGCTCATACAGTCTACCGTGAATGTCGGACATGATTAGAGAAGAGAATCGTCGGGATGATAAGGCCGAAATCGCCTACTTTTGACAAAAGAAAAGAGTTCCCTTTTTCTCCCATGCCTGGGGTGCAATTCCCAGGGAGAGGAAAAAAAGGCCTCAGGAGAAAAAGAAAGGCCTCGGGCGCTGAAGAGACCATCGCGGAAAAAGCCCGCAATTACGCACGGTCGTGGGCTCTTCAACGAGCTTCCAGGTAACTTCAACAAGCTATCACGAAACACGGACTCTCCATTATCGACAGGGGGAGCCAACGAAAAAAAAGGAATTCCCTTTCGATAGGTCTTCGATTCAAGGGGTTTCCGCGATTATGGACAAAGGCTCGCCGGTTTCCCATGGGAAAACGATCGGGTCAATACAAAAGAAGCCTCTAACGAGGTCACGAAAGAATGAGCTTCCAGCGTCTTTGTTGGCCGGAATTAGAAACAAAAAAAAATTTACAAAAAAAAAAATTCACGACTTTCAAACACTGCCCGTCACGAGGGACTGGAACCGACACGGAATTTTTTTTTCCATTTCTCAGTAGAAAGTGAGGAAACCCAAGAAGTCACGGTCTCGTGAACAACGTCTCTTCCTCCGCGTTATTCTCCGCGCAAAACGAGATGGGAAAGAAAAAAAAGGCGGGGGAATGAAAAGAAAAATGACAGTTAAAGATGACGGCTTCTGCTTTCCCTCTGCACCTGTCTCCCCCGATGTTGATTTCCGAGAGACCACAGAGAACCTTAATTTCTCCAGAAAAAAGTGGACCGTAAATATAGGGGGATGGTAATCGGACTGGCCGACCGGTCCTTCTTTTATTCCTTTTTTACTTTTTTTTTTTTACATCGATTAAAGCCCTGTGGAATCTCCCCGCACCCTAATTGGCTCGTTTCGCTATCAGATGAAGTCGAAGAGATCGTAAACGAAAACCATTTTTTTTTTTAATATCTGATAAATACACGTGGAAAAAGATGAGAAGGAATCTGATAAATAAAAAAAACCACCGACCTGTTGGATGCACGACACGATGGCATGCTGCACATCCAAGCCCAGCAGCTTGATATTGTTGATGAAGTCCTCCCGCTGGGAGCACTGCACGGCGCAGCCGAGGAGGAGCAGCAGCAGCCGCTTCAGGTGATCCAGGGAGTCCTCGCTCCCCGGGTCTCGCGACAGGAGCAGCACGTTCGGCAGCCGGCACACGACCAATTGGCCCAACATGTCCTGGTGGATCACAAGACAATTTTTTTAAATAATAATAATAATAATGTACATATAATTTTTTATAATAATAAATACGTTATTTTTGCTGACGAGGTTTTGGGCAGTGCATAAATAAAACAATTTAATTTTGTGAAATAAGAATTAATTAATTAATTTAATTCGGTTCATTACGAGAATGCAATACAAAGCACTTCCGTTCACAAGCACAAAGACCCTGTGCGATTTATCGCTTCCGAGTCGTTCGGAAGACAAGTCACTTGAGCGGAGAGACCATATTGAACCGATTAATCACGTGTGAAAAAAAAAAATAAAAATACAAGAGGAATGAGATAATTTTGTTTTAAAAAACTGACATGCTCGGGATGTTACGCGATGAAGCACAACGCACCCGGGTCGTTCTCTCCGGTTCATAGGAGGCTCGAGGGAGAAAAACCGGACCGGAGCAGAGGCAGAGACAGAGACAGAGACAGACAGGCAGAGACAGTGAGAGAGACAGGGACAACGACCAGATCGTTGTTTCCATCATTTATCCAAGGTCGAATCGTGACGATAGAAAAAAAAAAAACTGGGAAACGAAGTGTGATGGAAACCGAGTCATATGTATCATGCCATCCGAGGAATCATTTCCTCATTTCCGGATTTTTTCCGGGTTTCTCTTCCTCCGGGACACAATGCTCCCTAAACGATGCGCAGCTGAATGGGGTTTGCTTCCGCGGGGAACAAAGGGTCCATACTCCTTTATCGGCAGGCCCCCCTCGAGACGAAAACCCGCCAGTCATCCAAAGCCCTTCGCAGAAGCCATTCGAGACCCCCGAGAGCGTTACGTCACGAGCACGCATGCATATATATGGAAGGAAAAAGGTTCGAAGCGTCCTTGCAAGAGAGTCATTATCTGGATTTGTATGCGCCGTAACCGCAGAGCCTGCCCCTCCCTCCCTTCTGCACGTAATTTCCAGTTCTTTCCGATCCGTGCCACGAACGACGACTCTTGCGACACGATTATCGCGGGCGGCCCTGCATCTCATCGCCGGCCCGAGGAGCCCCGAGGGCCCGCTAATAAAGGCGTCCTTGAGATGGGAAAAGGGGATCGCACGGTACCGTCCACGGACGACCTCCGCAGACGATCGAGTCGTGCGGATCCGAGCCTCCCTCCCATCCTCTCTCCCTCGAATCCCTTGAATCCCGAATCACGCTTCGTCGACACGTTCCGTCTCACTCCAGGGCCATTCAACCTCTAAGAGGCGTTCGTGACACCGTCCCACGGAAACATTAGGCCCTTCCCGATCCTCCTCCATGCATACCGCATCATTCCGCGTCGCTCCTCTTCGGGCGGCCCATTAACAGGGGCCACTCTCCTGCTCCCTCGCGTGGAGTGGACGGGAAACACGAGGAGCAATCTCGAGTCGTGACGCAATATTCAAGCATCCTCGCGAGGCTGAGAGGCTGATGGATGAGGAAGTCCGCACTTCCCAGTCGAGAGCCTCGACGATCCATGTTCTACGACGACCCATCCGCGGTCGACAATAATTCGCCCGGGTCGTCGAAATCGAATTGTATTCTTTAAATTAAAAAAAAAACCTTTCTCCACCTCCCGGTTTTGCTTCCTGAGAAAGGATGGGAGGGGGGAGAAGGGGGGGAAGAAAACTTCTCACCCATTAGAGATTCCACGGCGGTGCCTTGCACCGGCTAGGCCGTTTCCCACGTTCCCTTAATTGCCCATTCAACATGTCACACCCGTCTTTTGAGGCCTAAAGGACCTTCTCTCTGCGGTAATAGTTCGATCGAGTGACACGGTCCATACTTCAGGCCGCCGTTGCCGTTTCTGTCTCCTCCGGGTGAAAGTGATTCATCGGGTGACGCCGCGGGAAGCCAACGAAACATTTTTTCCCTCGGCAGAGGATAACTGCCCGTCGAAAATCGCTGCAAATCCGCACACAATGGGTGGAGAAAATTGGTCGTTTCCCGCGTCGTGTGTGGGGAGATGGAATCGAGCCAAGGTCGCGGTCGTCCCGTGCAAAAAAAAAAATCGCGTGTGCGTCTCCGGAAAGCTGCGGTCGTTCCATCGCGCACTTTATTGGCAGGTGGAGGAAACGACAGAAACGACACCGAGACACAATGGGACGATTGCGGCACCATGGGATGGATTTCACCGCGTTGCGTCACTTCTGTCGTGCCCCCGAGCCCTCGGACTCGAGGGCGTGACATCCCTCCGATCCCTTCGAAACTGATCCATTATTTTCATCCGACCGCGGATTTTTTCCCCCCTCCATTCAAAGACGAAAAAACTCGCCAGGAATGCGGAGAGACACGCCCAGTGAGCAAGAAGCGCCTTGAGCCCCGCACGTAATTGATTCTCACAGGATCTTCTCTTCTTTTTTTTTCTTCTTCTTTCTTTCTTTTTTTCGGAAGGTATTTAAAAAATTCCTCCCTTCTCTGTTTGACACATGGGTGTGATGGACTCGTACATTAGAGGCTTCCGGCCAGACAGAAGTACTTGAAACGAACCTTGCCCTTTGTCGGCAGGTTCGTTATGCTCAACCGACGATTTCCTCTAAAACCGCAGTAAAAAAAAAAATATTGAGAGAAAAACTCACATGGTAAAAGTTCTGGATGGCCTTGACCAAGGAATGAATGTTCTTGAGACGAAACACGAGATCGTCTTTGTCTGGATGCACCGCTGCTGTCACCCTCTGATCTCTATTTTTAAAAATAATAATAATATAAATAAATAAATAAATAAAAATACTTGTAATCTTCCCTTTCTCAACATTAATATTATATACACTGAACTTACATGGTGGACATGATGTCCAGCAGGGCGGATCCTTGAGTGAGGCTTCGCAGGGTGAGATCCTCGCATTGCAGACTCGAGTTGGCCTCGTGCAGGGACCGCACCTAAACACACCCAGTCCCAAGTCAGTTTTGCAATTTTTTTTTTGCACGAATACGGCGGTCGAGGGACTTGAAACACGATCGAGCCCCGCAGCCATGACATTTACGATAATGGAGGGGCTGTGCAAACGGGGCACCGGTGAGCTTTCCATGTTGCCATTACAACTTCTCCTTGTTGCCATCACAATGCCCCCTTGTTGCCCCACTCGGCTAATGTTCTTTCCTCTTCTTTATGGCTCGTGAAAGAAAAATGGACGCCGAGATATATTCATGGGGCGAACCGATCCATCGGCAACCACCGCTATCGGCTGCCGATATGGCATCATCGGCACCATGGGCAACCGTCCGGCAGACTTTCCGGCGGACACGATAAAATTATTCGGCTAAAAAAAATTATTTCGTAGAGCTGATGGATGCTTCCGGCCTCCCGCCATTCAACGGCATAATGAATGGCATAATTAAAGACTCGGTTTCACTTTTCACTCTCACAGCGAGTTACATGCGTTTTGCTTATCAGACATCGATGAGTCATAACATTCGCCGCCCGTCGAAGGTCAACACAGTTCGCGAGAATGATATCGGCGAATTTTCATCGAGGAATTTCAAAACCTCACGTCCCCCTCACATCCAGTTACGTTCCATCAAACCTGACTGGTTTGTGATGTATCGCCCGCTGGTAATTGAATTCTCAAGCTCAGATTTCGCCGCTTTTTCGATGCCGGGTCATCGACATCTGGTGATGCGGGGCATCGACTTATCGGTTTATCGGCATACATCGGCACTATCTGATATCGCGACGTCTCTACTCGAGGGGACGCGAATAGCTAATCAGTATAATAAAAATAATTCAATGAACAAAATTGGGTCGAAAAATGTAGACAAAAAAATTTGAGACAAATAAAATTGGGGCAAAAAATTGAAAGGAATAGTTCGATCTTTGTGCACAAGACGAAAAGGAAATGAAAGTACAGTACCCAGGTGACGAGGGGGCCATTCATGACTTCATCGGCCTCCCGCCTGTTCTTCTTGGGTTCCACTTCGGTGGTCATACCTGGCAGCAGGTGAACACGTCACTCGCGCACGCACGTCGCATCCCCGAACGCGTTCGCGTCGGGGGGAGGCGGGAAAAGAGGCGCACTTTCTACTTCACTTTCTTCCAAAAAGGTCTTTCCCATCTGTCTCTCTCTCGTTTACACCTGGAAAAAGGGGGAAAGAAGGGGATCGGTGAACGGTGTGCGTGAGGCGTGCGCGGGGCGAGCGTGATGGTCTATCGAGTACCGAGAGAATATTTGGGCCATATTTGGAGCACGACGGGGGCAGTTCGACTGTGGCCACAAAGAAAAAAAAAAGAAAGAAAAAAAAAAAATTTCCTACCGAAAAAGACCCGACCTCGTTGTTACATCTCGCATATTGCTCCCGTTTCCCATACACTTGGCTGGTCACACGAAACGACTACTTCTTTTTTTGTTCCGCGTCTCTTTCGGCTCTCGAACAAATGTTTGTGAACTCCGGCGACGTGGCACTAAAATATTTCTCAGTTTAAGAAAAAAAATCCCGGTGAGTGCGTGTCTCCCACGAATTAATCCACAACGCGATCAAACGGAAGAAACCGAGAAAAATGAAATAAAAATAAAATACGGAATTTCGCTTTCGTCTCTCACGCTGTCTCCCTCGAGGACATTTCCCCCCCCCCCCCCCCCCCCCCCCCCCCCCCCCCCCGGATTTCCCCCCGAATCCGCGTAATTTCCACTCAAGAAGGCCGTTGAACCTCGTCGCTCCGTTCCCGCGGGTAGCCGTTATGATACCATCATTAACTCAATGGTTATGTATTAGATTCTCCGGGATTACACCCCCTCATCAAGGGGGAGAACGGACTTGTAGTCCTACCATACTTATACCCGGACGTGTAATTGGACGGGGAAAGGCTCAAGGATTGAAAAGGCTGTCCCGGCCTTGGCGGTTTTCACACGCATACTTCGACCTTTTTATGGTTAAGCCTTTTTTTTGGTTTGAACCTTTTTTTTTTGTTAGGGCCCTTTCTTTTGGTTTGGACCTTTGTGTACCTCTTGGGCTCTCTTCGCAGAAGTCGGGAATTTGCATATAGCATTTCGCTTGCAGGAAGTTGAGGGTACGTTCAACTCCAGCCCATGGACACAACAGGGGGTCTCTTAAAAAAAAAAAAAAAGGGGGGGGGGGCCCCCCATGAAAGGGGGGGGGGGGGTGGGGGACCGTGGAGAAGTCATTAGTCGAGCCCCCATCGTTTCTTTTCTTTTCTTTTTAAGGCTTCTGTTAAACTTTTTTAAATATATTTTTCTTTATGCGTTTAAATAAATGAGCTGTTTGGACCTGTCAGGAGCGACGATTGATGGACGTCGGAGATCACGACCGTTCGGATTTCAGTACATACACGACTGGCCTTAAAGGTCATGCCCTTCGAGGGTCACGCCCCCCCACTAGAAGGTACGAGCTGTCCTTTCACGTCAAAGGATTATGGCTGAGGAATGCGAAGATCATGACTCACGAATCGTGGCGACGAAAAAAAAATGGCGACAAAAAGCGTAACGAGGCGACAAAAGCCGCATTCCAGCGACAGAAACTGAATTGCAGCAACAAATGCCGAATCTTCGCGACAGAAACTGAACTGGAGCGACAGAAACCAAATCGGAGCGACAAAAACCATACTGAAGCGACAGAAACCAAACCGGAGCGACAAACACCGGCTTGAAAAATCGCGCCAGTCATTCACACTTCATCAAAGCCGTTGATGGATGGGGACTCCTCTCCTTTTCCCTTCGATATTAATGAATGAGTATCTCATTAGGAGGTCTTTCACCTCTCGGCACGGCACAACAAAGCAGGCATAGGTCACCCGAAATTTCCCTCCTTAATTATGGCTCATTAACATGCAAACATCCCGGAGGGAAACGCCGTTCTAACGAGAATTCCCAACTAGGCCAGAGGAAATATCTGTCAGCTCCGACCTTCCCAGCTGTAAACAAAAAAAAAAACGGGAAAAAGGAAGAAAAAAAGCGAAAAAAAAAACACTGAACCGTGAATGACATGTGGAGATGCGTTTGACGGCGTAAACGGTTAGGCAGATAATATAGTAGCTTCGATACACACGCACGTCATCAGAATCAGTGCAGAAACCGAGGGCGATTACCAAAGGTAATAAAGGTAATAAAAATAATGATAAATAAAAATGAAGAAAGGTGAAACCCCGCCTCGAAACATCACGCCGTGACTTTACGACTTCGCAGAAACACGGCGAGAGAAAAAGCGCCGCTTCTGCACGAGTGGAGAGAAAGAAGCGTCGATTCACGGAGAAATTTCATGTCACGGAGAAATCCTCGTCACAGGGAAATGTCACTGAGAAATTCCTCGTCACGAGGGGGAGGAATCCCCACTTTTCCTCCATGAAAAGCCGTTCCACATGGCGGGTTCATAAATCCCGGGCAGGTGAGAGTTTGTCTTCGAGGGACCTTAATTAAGGACGGCCCCTAATTAACGAGGGGGAGAATTTTCATCAGGGCGTCAAACGCCGAGAGACGCCAGATTATTCATGAGTGATATTATATATTATTCGTGATAACAGACCCCGGGGAAAAAAAGATTGAGCGTCCGAGCGCGTTCCCGTGAGAAGGAAATGTTTCATTCTAAATCGCCTAATAAATTACAAATCGCATCAACGCAATTACAAATTACTACCGGTCGTACGGCATTCGCGTACGCTCCACGCAAAAGCCGTTAACGATAAACATCGCCGCACAATATTGCGCCACCGATAAACATTCGGAACGGCACAATGAGGCCATTTGCGATTGAAAAGAGTTGGATTTAATCGCGAATGCATTGCGCAACCGGAATCGGCGGTCGTTTTGCCGCTTGGGAAACATCAAGGTCATCGAGAGCCGAGGGCATGCAATCAGATTTATCATTTCTATGGTTGTATTGAAATACGACCCTTGGATTGCTCTCACTTACAAATTACTTGGTAAATTACTTGGTAGTGGTTCGGTTGGTAACTGCGGGGTCAGAGACTTTTGATGCAGATGTCCAGGTGACGATAAAATACCACGGGGGTACAGCGTATCTCCTGGTGGGAGTGCGAGACTGTGAACCGTGACTGGGACGGGTCCCCCCTGGGACGGTCCCCTTTTTTTCCTGGATTGCAGGATAGGCTGTCATTACCTCATCCGAGGGCATGACTTGGCTGTCACCCGGATTAACCGCGGGTCTCAAAAGGATCATCTGAAAAGAGGCGTGATGACGAGTGACGTCTTGCTCTAGTCCCCACACGGCGCCCTGCCCGAGATCGTCTGAGATCGCCTGAGATCACACGAGGGCGCCGTGTAATGACACCTTCCATCCGGTCCTCGGGGACAAAGAACGGTCACTCGGGTGATCGACCCGGGGCATTCTTCTCCTCGAGAGGGGAAACGCAAAGCTCACTCGAAGACTGTCGGAGGAAAAGCTTGGCTTTGCCCCCCCCCCAGAACCCCCGCCCCGCCCGGATCGATAGCTCCAATCTGCAGCTGCCGGATCGAAACCTTTCCAGTGCAAGCCGGTTAAAGCGACACGCAACCGACACAGACGCAGGAAATCGACCCGAGGGCGGAAGGAAAAATTTCCATTTCGCCCACGTGGCAGCCATCTGAGACGAAACAAAGGGCTCCCCCCGAGCACTCCGGGCACGAGAAGGAGGGGGTAAACACCAGAGCAAGGCTCCCGTCGAAAACAGCGGAAGACAGCACCGCACAGTGTTGCATGTCGGACTGACCGATGAGCAACCCGGGAGAGGGGGAGAGAGGGAGAAGGGGAGAGAGAGAGAGGAAGTCAGGTAATGAAGGGAGGGGGAGGGAGAGAGGGAGGAGTGGAGGAGGGGAGACGGGGAGAGGGGGACAGGTGAGTCGATATCACGTCTACCTTCCGTTTTTAGGGTGAATTGTCCTCCCCTTCTCGAACGTTAAAAAAATTCGCATCCCCCTTTCGAAAGCCATCTGTTGGACGTTTCCCCCTCTCTCGATTCCGCGAAGCGTCACACCCATGTTTGAATTCGACCTGCTCTCCCCTATTAATTACTTTTGAATTAACCTGGAAATGGCTTCACTCGTGATGCGTTTTTCATTCTGCTGCAGATGCAAAAAATAATCAGTCGATCGCTCGCACGGGTCGATGCAACCTGTCGTAACCTGTTACCGACCGGTTACGTCGGCGGATATCCTCTTTGTTGCTCCCTGGAAGGGAAAATCTCGAGAGCAACTGGATCAGAGGGTCATCGGGTTGCCCCACGCAAATTGCAGGATGTGCCAGGTGCAATTTGAACAACCACTTCCGCGAGTGCAGGCTAACTTTGATGGGCGAAGGATCGTAAATCCAGGGGTCTTCAATGTCGAGACGCCATGGGAACCCGTGTGGCCCCTTCGGAATCGGCCCACGGGGGGTCAACTCACTGGGAACTCCCCTCCCATTAAAAAGACCGACTCTGCTGTTACCCTCCTGCACTTTTGTAGTTGCCCTCCTGTAGTTCTGCTGTTGCCCTCTTGTACTTTTGCTGCTGTCCTCAAAAAGCTTTTGTCTTTTCTTTGTGTAGTCACGCGCTTTTGCTGTTGCTCTCCAGCACTTTTTTGTTACCTTGCACATTTTTGCTACCCTGCACTTTTTCGTTACCCTGCACGTGTTTATAGGTGGACGAGAAAGGAAAAGGTCAGGGGGTTCTTCTTTGCCTTGCAAAAGACACGTCGTCCTTGACGGTGTCGAAAGAGGCCTTGTGTCGACGCATTGTGCGGAGGGAGGAGGAAAAAATCGCCCACAATTGGAGCAAAGCCGGCCAGAAAACCGATTGAGATGAGAAAGGAAGAAGGAAAAAAAAAATCGAGGACTTTCACGACGGGGGCCACAAAGCCCAATGACGACGCACTCCGCCTACCTACCCGATCTCTCCTGACCCTCACCAAATCCAAAGTAAAAAAAAAAAGAAAGAACAATGGGATGAGTCCTTTAAACACGCCCATACCATTTGAAGCAAACGGGGAGAACTGGAACATTTAGAAAAAAATACAGCATATATCCCCGAAACAATGAAATCTCGTTCATGCAGTTTTCCTACCGACGCAACAAAAGCTCGCTCTCTCGTGAAAGGCTCATAATCCTTTCACGACATCGTAATCCTTTCATGCGAGGATCGTAATCCATTCTTCTTCTCACTGGGGAAATG